TATGAACAGAAATTATACGTAGAATTTTGACTTAAATAAAATTTTATTAATTTAACTTAGTTCTTGAATAAGATTAATTAAATATGTTAATTAAAATTTAATTGGTTTTCTGATTTTTAATGTTTAATAAAAGTATTTTTTGGATAGAAGTAATTAATTGATTGGTATCTTTTTAGATGCAAAAGCGCAAAGTACGTTGGATTGTTGAAATACCTGAAGATGCGGAAGGACAGAAACCAGTTGAATCACAAATTACGGAAACTAAGGGTAAGTTTTTGTTGTAATTATAAATTCTATTTTATTTTTTATTTATTTTTATTTGATTTTTATTTTCAATTATCTACTTGATTTTTATTCGCTAGAAAAAATATTCGGTAAAATTGAAATTATATTGACAATTTTCAGGCTTTGCACTCATCTAGACTAAAACCTATTTTTTTTATTTTTGCTATTTGGATACTTTTTTTTACATTTGTGACACTAAAAACTACTTTTATCTTTTTTTTTTTTTGAGAATTTGCACTTTAAATCCGCTAATAGTTAGAACAAAAAATATTACTCTAAAAAATTTTAATGAAATTCTTTGAAACGATTCAATTATTTTCAAAAATTGTGAGAAAAATTTTTAATTACTTTTAACAAATAATAAAATATTCTTCGCTGGAAGAACAAAAGAATTCAATTATTTAAAAAAAATTAATAAATGTCTTTCAAAAAATTCAATTATTTGAAAATATACAATTTTCATAAAATTTTGTTAAAAAAAGTTGTTAAGAAAATTATTTTAAAAAATTTGTAGAAAATTCTTGGAAAGAAATCAATTACTTTTAATGATTTATAATAAAATTTGTTCACAGGAATTGAATTGTTAAAAAAAAAATTAATAAAATTCGTTGCAAGAATTCAATTATTTTCATGAATAATAAATTCTTTGCAAAATTTCAATGATTTTTAATATAATTTTAAGTAAATTCTTCGAAAAATGTAATTATTAAAAAAATTTTATTAAATTTCTTTGAAAGAATTAAATTATTTTTTAAAATTTGGATAAAACTTTTCAGAGGAATTTAATTTTAAGAAATAATTAATTATTGTTGTATTTAAATAATTGAATTCTTGTTGAACTTTCTATGAAAAATTGATTTAAAAATGAATTATTAGTTAATATTTTAAATAATAATTCAATAAGAAAAAAGTGAATAATTATTTTTGATGGAATTCTATAAAAAAAATTATTTTTCGTTATTTAAATTAGAAAAAAGTCATAGAAATACTGAATCAAATTTTTGTGAGTCGACTAAAATGAGTATTTTTTTGTCGTCAAATGATTATTTTAAAATTAATTATCGAGTGCGAAGCCTGTATTTTATTATTATTTAAAGAAAAATTTAAAAGATGTAATTACATCGAGTAATAATTTTGTTTAAAAAAAGTAATTAATCGATGTAATTGCTTATGACAGTAATAACTCCGAAAGTAGACACACTTTTTAATAATATTTCATTAATATTACAATTTTTTGTTACACGAATTTTTAGTAATATACAATTCAGAGGAACAAAAAATACGAAAAGTGTGCGAAAAATATTTAAAAATTCAGACTCTCCCCAGAAGTTTTTATACGACACATCTTTCCACACGGTTTATGTGCGTAAAATTTTTTTTCTGAAAAATTGACGTGACATTTACTGAAATTAGAGAGAAAGCGTGTATATTGTGTACGATGGGATAAATTATAACTATAAGATCTGTCTGGGTGTTTTATTACTATGTTTTTCATTTTACAACCGTTTTACTATTTACAGAATTTTATTAATAGACGTGATATACTCGAATTCTCATTTTTATTCACGTTTCATCACCTTCGCTTTTGTTTATAAATTAAAAACTCGCGAGAAAAATCATTTTTGCACTTGGCTTCTGTTTTTTAAAAATATTTTTTAATTGCTTTTCTTCTCTTCTTGCTTTTCACTCTTGGAAACCATTTTTTTTTAATCTCAAACATTTTTCAATAATATAAATTTTCATGAAAATATAAAATTCTTCATAATCTAGGCTTCATAATCTAAAAATTATTTTATTTATTTATTAATCATTTATCAACCATTTACTTAATTTTACTATTTACCTTTGTTACTTTTATTTACGTATTTTTTTACTTTATGTAAGTGCAATGAAAAAAATTTAATTTATTCAAATAACCAATTACTTTCAATTACTGTTTATTATGAAATAAATATTTACTTGAATCAAATGTTATTTAAATCAATTAAATTTTATTTCAAAAAATAATTTCAGTATTTGACATAAATACTATTTAATTCATTTAAATAAAAATTGTTTGATTCAAGTTAATAAATTTGATAATGGATAAGTAATTCGTTATTTGAATCAAATACATTTTTTTCAAAAAAGAAAAAAAAAAGGAAATAAAGCGAATTGTTCATAAATATACACAAAGTGAAACGCTTATTATCGGTTAGATTCCTAGTGCAACAAATCAAGATGATATCACTTGGTTGTTGACATAGGAATGCTTGTGTATAATAATTCTCGCGCAGTTGTCCTGATTATGTTTCATTTATAAAGTCGCGAGTCATTAATAGTTAACCCCTTTATGCAGATCTGTAAATTGTTTTATATTCTTATGAGTAGGAAAAATGCAAAACTAAATTCATGTCTTTAGTTATATGCACAAGTTTTTACGTACAAGTTTCTGTTTTTTTTTTGTTCCTCATAAATTATTATTAAAAAGTGATTTTCTAACGTTGTTTGCTTTTTTGTTCCTTTAGAAAAAAGTCATTTTAAATTCTCAATATTGCAGAGAGAGAAAGAATGGTTGCTGTACTTTTTTTTTCTTTTGCTTGACGGTAATCGGAACCGGTCCCAGAATTTGAGAATCGCTTGAATGAAATACCATTTAAAATGACTTCGACACTGTGAGAATCTATATACAGTACTAACAAGGGGGTCCAGACCCCAGGAGAATGGTATTTACCTCTTGAAACTCCTGTTCGCCTGTTTACCTGTACCTTGTTGGGCCTTACTTCTAGTATTCAGTGAGGGGTCCCAAGTTTATATTCTCTTACATATTTTGCACGTATTGTGTGGTTCGTGGGTCCCATTTCAAACGGCAAACTCAAGGCCACGCTCATATATATACATATACCCATTTTGATAAGTCAATTATTTGTGATAATTAAAAATTAAATAATCAATTATACGACTTAATTAATTAGCAAAAAAGTTTATTAAATTTCGTAATTAAATTGATTTCATTTTTGATATAATTTTTATATTCATTTTTAAATATTTATTAATAATGTTACACAAAAAAAAAATTATTTGATTCAAAAAAATGTCTCTAAAGATTCGAAAGTACAAATGAACGACAATTTTTTTTATTCGTTGTTAAAATTAAAATTTTTTTTAGAAAATATTCTTTTTGGTAATTTAGAAAGTTTATTATTTTTGGGCTTTTCAAAAACACTTTACTTATTTAATATTCGCTACCATTTGGTAAAAAATCTAAAATTATTAAAATTTATCAAAAATTCGAAAAACCGAATTTCTTAAAATACAACATTTTTTCTTCTCTTTTATGGCATTTAGCTTCATTATTTTTGGGCTCTTCAAAAACACTTTACTTAAAAATTTTCGTTTATTATTACTTTTCAATCTTTAGGACATTTTTTCAATCAAAGAGTTTTCATTTGAATAAAATAAATTATAATTTGAACTAAATACCATTTAATTAACTGAAATATAAATTATTTGATTTTATATAAATATATTTATTGGAATCAAATAATTTTTATTTAAGTAAATTAAATAGTATTTGGTTAAAAATCTCAAATTATTGATTTAAATGTAATTTATTTGATTTAAATACAAAATTAGTTTTGATTCAAGTAAATATTTAATTGTTAATAAACAAGTAATCCGTCATTTAAATTAAATACATTTTTTTTAGTGTATTATTATATAAATACTTTTAGCATATCATTTTTATTTTTATAATTAAAATATATTGAATATATTTTAATTATAAAAATCAAAATTAAATTTTAATTAAACAAATTGATACAGTTTGATAAGGTTTTAAAAAAATATGAGAGATTTATTTTTTAACTTTTATTTTTTTCACAATGAAAACATAGAGAACTTGAAATTATAAAATCATTGAAAAACGTTTGATTTATGATTACAACTTTTGCTTATTTATATATTTTACAATTCATTCATGTTTCTTGGCTTATTTATATTTTGATATGTTTTCCCTTCATCTAAAACTTGAATCTATTCACTGGGTTTGTATTATGTGCGTGGGCTTTTATGACAATTTTGAATTTACATAATGCAAAATCTCATTTATATTTTACTGTTGATATAAACATTTGAACGATTGAAACTAATGCGCTTCATAAAAAAAAGAAAGAATTTTCAAATATTAATTTTATGCTTTGTAAATAAAAATCAAGTTTTCAAGCTTTACATTTAACTTTCAATTTTATTTACTATTTTGTTTCATTTTATTTATAGATCTTTTTAATTTTTATGATTTTTTATAGTATTCATAATTTTTAAATTTTAATTGCTTTTTAAATTTTAACTTTTTTGCTAAATTTAAATTTTAATTGAACAAATTTATTTATTAAAGGAACATGCTCTTTCGTTCGTAAATTAATAATTTTTTTTATATTTATAATACCTATAAAATGAATAATAATTAAACAAATAAAAAAATAAAAATTAATTAAATAATTATTTAATTCTAATTTAAATTTACTAAAGTACGAAACAAAAATTCTTTCTTTCTTATTCTAAAATATAAAGTTTTGCCACCTTTTAAAAACATTTATTTGTTTATCAAAATAGAAAGTTATTTAGTTATTTATTAACGTTCGAATGTTTTTCGGTTTTGAATTTGGCGCGTAAAGTTGAGGCCTTGTAATGCGGTGTGGAGGGGGCTTGAGGGGAAGATAGTGGGGCCTTTTCTCCTTGTCTGCGTCCACGGTTGCCAGTTTGTTTCACGCCACTCGAGCAGTAACCGGTGTTATTTTCTTTTTTTTTTTTACTTTTTGGTTAATAAAAAAAGAATGTCTCGTGAATACTTTTGATCTTTATACGTGTTGTGTAAATCAATTGTTGTGCTTGTCTCGCGCCTCATTATATGACAAAATCATGTCTTCCTGTGTTTAGAATCAATCTATTCCAATTACTCCAAAATGATACTTCTAAAGTTACTTCCTTCGAAACTTGTGTGTCGCATAGTTATCACGTCCTACTTTACTCAGTGTGCATTTAAAAGATAATGCATTTTCAGCAAAAAAAAGTGAGAGAATTAAAATAGTGGATAATTTTAATCAAGGTGAATCGAATATTGGTTATGTTTACAACAGTTACTTTCCCCATATGCGTGTAAAATATTGTCCGGTGTTGTGTTGTGAATCAACAAGTGTCATGGATTGATCGTAATTTCTTTTTTTAACAATACAATTTATCTTGAAGAAATTATAAATCATTGAGAATGACAATTATCAATTTTTGTTGATAGTGAAAATACTTTGATATTGAAAGATAATTTCATTGGATTATTGAAAAATTTGTGTTGTAAAACATATTCTTGAAATACAAGTGTGTGATGCTGGATGGTAAAAAGGAATATAGTCTTGTGTTTGTGTGTGCATATAATTAAAAAAAGTTTTTACCGCTTGCCGGCCAAGAGAACCGATCTGTGATCGTTTGTTCATCTCACGTGCCCTTGGATGAATATTACGTCAAAGATTTTGTCGTTGAATTCTCAAAATGGAAGTCGTTTATATAGGTGTGTACATGTTTTTCTTAAAAATGACATTTTTATTATTTTTTTTTGCATACTCCATGTAGATTATATTTTCCGATATATAGTATAGTTGCCTGCAGGAGAATGATCACCTTCTATTAACCTGTTCTTATTGCAAAAAAGTCGTCGCAAAGTTGGTACGTGGGGAACATTAAATAGACATGGTTTTATGTACTCTATAAATGAATTTTAAATTTCTATTCCTGGAGAAGAATATTTTTATTATCCTTGCGGTGATCTAACATGAATATTTAAAATTCTCGAGAATTATTAAATTGTCTTTCTAGACATTCATTTCATTGTCTTTATAAAATTTGCTTCTATTTGGATACTAAAAGCTAATTTTTCCATGTTTGAGAATTTACAATACTTTAAATTTGTTAACAGTTGAAATAAAAAAATTATTTAAAAAAATTTGAATAACATTATTGGAAACAATTTAAAACATTTTATTAAAATTCTTTCAAGCTATTCAATTATTTTTACAAATTTCTCAAAGTTCAATGACTTTTAATACTTAATATTTTAATAAAAAAGTTTCTCAAAAGAGTTGAATAATTTAAAAATTTTTTTTTACAAAATTCTTCACAAATATTCAATTATTTTCATAAATAAAAAAAGTTTCACAGGAATTTAATTATTTAACACAGAATTTTCCTAATATTTTCCGAAAAAAATCAATTATTTTAATAGATTTTTATAAAATTCTTTGGAATAATTCAATTATTTTTTAAAATAATAAAATTCTTCTCAGGGATTTAATTATTTTAGAAAATTTTAATGAAATTCTTTATAATAATTGAATTGTTTTCAATATAATTGTAATAAAATTTATTAAAGAATTAAAATTATTTTCATAAATAATATGTACAAATTTCAAAGATAAGTTTAATTATTTAAAACACAATTTTCATAAAATGTTTCGAAACAAATCAATTATTTAAAGAATTTTTTAAAATTCTTCTCAAGAATGCATTTATTTTAAAAACTTTATTAAAATTCGTGTCAAAAATTCAATTATTTAAATAAATAATATAAAACTTATCTCAGGATTTCAATATTTTGAAATATTAAAGTTTTGAATAATTTTATTTATAAATTTCAACAACAAAAAAATGATTGAATTTTGAAAGAATTATTTTTTGTAATTTTTTAGAAATAGTTTAATTTTAAAAATGCTTTAGATTGAAATCATTTGAAATATTTTAATTCCTGTAGACAAAATAAATGGGTATTTAAATAGTTATTTAAAAAAATTATTCAATTTTTAATGTAATTAATAAATTATCAAAAAAAATTGAGGCGTCAAGTTTATTTTTTCGATAGCTAAGTTTACTACTTTTTTACTACTTTTTTTCTGTCTTTAAGCAACTTTTTTAAAATTAATTATCGAGTACGTAGCCTGCAATTTCTAAAATTATCTTTAAAAGATAAATTAATTTTAAAAATATAAAAATGATTTTATAAATTTTAGATTTAAAAACTTGAAATTAAATTGCATAATGTTTATAGAATTGTTTGCAAACGATAATAATTATTATTTTCGAAAGAATTAAGTTTACTTTGCATTTCAATTTGATTACGTATAACCAAAATTGATTGATTGGAATTTTGTAATATTTTGAAATTAATTACAATTTGCTCCATATGCAGATTATGAATTCTCACTTTACATTAAATATATAACACGAAATATTAATCTACCTGGATACTTATTACTCATTAGTTTCAAATCTTAAAAATGGGTTTACTAGTTTTATGTTTTCATGTCTCATTAAGATAATCCGGACTTATTCACTTTTAATGACAGTTAATATTATTAGTTTTAAAAGTTACTTCGCCTGTCGTATAATAATTAAACGTTTTGTATCTCAAATAATAAAATAAATAAATTACCGATTGCAATAAAAATAAAAATCGATTTTTTTTATACTGACGCAAAATAGAATTGGTAGAATTAAATTGAAAATTCAGAACTTTTATTACAATAATTGAAATGTTGGCTCAACATTTATAGAATTTTTCCCAGTGAGAAAACTTGATCCTCATCAGTAATTGGATAGTCTTTCGTTTGAGTTTACTGCTTATTATCTATTTCATTCTTCTAGTCATTTATACAGTGTGTAGTGCAATATTACATTTCTTGTATTTGCATATTTTACACTAGAGTATTAGGGATGTTTTTATCTTATCATCGACCTACTTGAGCAAATACATAATTTATTGTTTTGAAGAACAAAAAAATTTCCAAATAGTGATACTTGAAAAATTAACGGATTAACTAATTTAATTAAAAGTTTAAATGGAAAACAGTTCAGTAATTTTTTTCTACACAAAAATTTTCAATTGCATCGTAACTTGCATTTGTGTATATTTTGTATTTTTAATTTCGGCCTCTTTTACTTTGATCTTGAATTCTTGGTATGTTTTTCATTCACATGGTGCTTTCTACCCCATCCTTGTTTTTATGAACCTTCTTGTGTGTTTAAGATGCGTTTTTTTTTGTTATCATGTTCCCAGAAACATCTGGTTTTTCATTATTCTTGGATTGCTTGGTTCCTGTCTTTTTTTTCTTTTCTAAATTTGAATTTTTATGAGATTTCTTATCTAAATTTTTTGATTCTTCTACATTCTTGTCACATACGATGCGGTGTATTTTTAAAACATTTTTGTGAATTTGTTTAATTTTTTCTATAGTTTTTTTCGATTTGTATTTTCGTATTCTCGAATGGTTATTGGGTTATTTAGTCTGATTGGATTTTGTTTGTATTGTTTTGGAATAAGAACACGTATTCAATTAACGTGTTTCATTCATTATTCAAATTGATTTCTTGTATTATGAAGTATCGGTTATTAACTGACAAGGAGGTCATTAATAAAAAAAAGTACGTTAAAGATTATGATGATGAATGAAAAATACTCCGTTTGCTAATTCGTGTTTTTTAGCTTTTAGAACCGTTTCTCTAGTTAGTGGAGTTTGTATATATAGTTTCTAGAAAAAAGGATGCTGAGTAAAAAGAGGATTCTTTTTTTCCATGAAGAAAATTTATTATCTTTTTGTGTTGAGAAAAATCTTTAAATGGAGTTTTTGATAAAGAAATATAAGGGTGTTTTGTTTTCTTTTAATAAACTTTTTTGCGCACGTACGTATTCATACAGCAAAAAAAAAAATTAATTATAACGGGGAAGAAGGCGCAGTCTAGTCGTGAGCTCGATTTTCATATCCTTGTCACTCTTATCCAATTACTGGCACCCCTTTTGCATTGTGAACTCATTTACTTGTTAATTAGCTCGTTTGTAAATGTGACACGTACCACCCGCTCGAGGAACTACGTTAATCTGGGTTAATATGGGTAAAATAAGAACTAAACCTAGAAACTTAACTGTTGATCTCGCGATATTAGTTAACATCCCACTGAGTAATTTTCCCTTTAATAGTTCAATCGATTCCTCTTAATGTACCTACACCAATTTGAAAATTGTAATTTTCTGTAGATTGTTGGGAAAAGGGTGGAAAGTAGAAATTTATTTTTTAATAAGTAGTAGTCTATTGAAGTAGGAACATTAATTTTGAAATGCAAAGCACTTTAGTCTCTCAAGTGATAAATATGAAGATCCACTGAAAGTAGTAGTTATGCGACACAAAATATATATTTTTTTAAAATGAAGTGCGTGTCGACAAAAGCCCTTAGTGGTTGAACTCTTGTCTGCTCATTTGTACAATTATGCGTTGTAATAAACTTGTAGAGTTTGAATAGTGCGCGCATGCTTCTCCCTTTCATGAACACGAGGATAACCACTGTATATCTGAGTTGAGTGAACTGTATCAAATTACATAACTTGCAAAATAAGCAAAGATTAAAAAGAAACAAGTATTTCATTTTGTGACACATAAGATGCAGCTGCTGTCTTATAGTCATCAATTCTTACATGAAAATTTCTATCTTAGTTAAAACTATATCTACATGACATGATAAACTCGTTTTTAAGCTCAATTTCTTTGCTTTTTACGAGCGAATTCCATTTGTTTAAATAATCACCCTTTCAATTTATTAATACTCTTTAACTATGTTATTTATTATGGTATGTTCACTCCTCGGATAGTATGACTTCTCTATTTTTAACTCGACTTTTTTCGAGTCTTAAAGTCGATCCTAGATCTGAATGATGTCGGTTATGTTATATTAGTTAAATTAATAATTTTCAGTTACAAATATATTTGATAAAATCGTTTGGAGATGAATGAATGAGTGTACGATATTCATTTGAATGGGGCAGCTATTTTTTGTTCGCCCTTTTTTTTATTGTGAAGGAATCGCGTAACATTTAATAATTCGGGTCAATTTTTGTTTGATGAAAGATTTCTCTTACACGGGATGCATTTAACACGGTCATTAAATTGGTCGGACGGAAGAGTCAAAAGAAGTACTTTACAAGTACTCAGTATTCGAAGAGATACCCATGCAAGAGACTCAACCGTCTCTTCATTAACAGCCAGACGTCAGGTCAATTGAAAGCGAAGTAGACTGATTTATCTTCCTTTCGCTTTACTGTATATTCAGTATTCACTGACCTGAAAATTGTATAGTGATTTTCGGTTAAATATTCTATTACTCGCTAAACAACATATTTTTATTAACTGTGCACTCAAAAAAATTTGATTCATTCAATTCATTTTTAATTACATTTCTTGAATGAATTTAATTATTATCAAAAATTTTAAAATTTCAAAACTAATTATCAAGCACGAAGCCTGTGTAAATTATTTAAGAAATTATGTTAATTTGAATTTAATAAAACATGGCAATATGAATTTTTTTATGATTCTAACAAATTAATTAAATTTTTCTGTTTGAGGTTTGATTTTTAAAAAATTCTAATTGATTTTAGTGGCTTAGAGGAAAAAAATGTTAGTTAATACATTTCTGAAAAGGAAAAATTCTTGCTTAAAAATAGTAGTATTTATATAAATTTTTTTTAGATACAATGTAAGTTTAATTAAAATTGGCTAAAATAAGAATTCGAAAATTATCAGAAAATAATTTTACGTGTTTTGGAATTTATCTGTTGGTACAAGAGAGAGAGAGATTTAAGAGATTTTTGATGACCAAACAGAGGGTTTTTTTTGTGGAAATCACTGAAAGAACTCGTTATTCCACTTTTGGTTCTATAAAGGTTTTGAGAATAAGAAGTTTGTTATTTTGCAAGGAGCAAAAAACAGTCAAGCGTGAGTCGATTGTATACTTTAATCTAAGAGCGAAATACGTGATCTCCATGGGTTATATAGAAATGTATAGGGAAGAACGTCCCATTCACTCGTTCACTTGTTGGCTCATTCATACATTCTCAAGTAGGCGTAGGTCATTCGCACTATATATTCTAATAATTTCATAAATTTCTATCGTAGTCATCTATATATGTACAGCTCCCTTACTTTAGAATATAATCTCTACTTGTTTTGTTAATTATATTCTTCATTAATTTAATTTCGTATATTACTACCAAATGGAAATTTCAATGAAAATCGAGTTAAAATTTTCGTTGATGGATATTTTTTTAATGGATCCTGTAAATTTAATTTTATATTTTTCTTATAATTCCAGATGAACGGGAGGATGTGCAAAAGAAGACGTTTGCAAAATGGATAAATTCACAACTTCTTAAGGTAAAGTTTATTCTTCTTATTTATTATTGATTGATCGATTTTTATTTCTAATAATATTATTTCTCTGCAGAATAATCATGAACCAATTGCGGATTTGTTTGTCGATTTGCGAGATGGAAATCGTCTTTTATCCTTATTGGAGGTTCTTACGGCCAAGGGATATGTGAGTTTTCTTTTATTATACTTTTTTTGTGATTTGTATTGTATTTTCTTTTAATTCGTACGGTACTTTATTTTAATTTGTATTGTATTTTATTCTACGTAATTGTGAATTTCAGAAAAGAGAACGTGGTCGTATGAGAGTTCATCATCTGAATAATGTGAATAAAGCATTGCAAATTCTCGAGCAAAACAATGTAAGTTTATTTTAATTTTTCAATATGTTTAAAAAATCGATTATTATTATTTTGAATTCCACATTTTATTTATTGTTTTCTGTATATTCAATAAACAATCAATAATTACAGGTGAAACTTGTCAATATCAGTAGTAATGATATCGTTGATGGAAATCCAAAATTAACTCTCGGCTTAGTGTGGAGTATCATTTTACATTGGCAGGTTAGTTGACAATCAATTTCATCAGATGCAATTAACCACAACTAATTTTTTACATTCTAAAATTATGATTACTCTGTTAATAGGTTCAATATCACTTGAAAGATTTAATGTCAGAATTACAGCAGACAAATTTGGAGAAGACACTTCTTGCCTGGTGTCGACAACATTCACAGGTAAATTTTTAATGTTCATTTGCATTAATATTTAAATAAGACAAGAGATTAATTAAAAGAATAAAATAAGATATTCTTTAAATTTTTATTTAGAAAAAAATTTGATTTCAAGTTTAAAATACCGTTTATTTTTGTTTTAGAATTATCCAGGTGTTGATATAAAAAATTTTACAACATCTTGGTCAGATGGATTGGCATTCAATGCACTTCTTCACAGGTGGAAACCGCAGTCATTTGATTTTAATAATATTTCACGTAAACATCCAAATGCACGATTAGAACACGCTTTTCGTTTCGCGCAGGAACATCTTTCGATTGAACGACTTTTAGATCCAGAGGGTAATTTAATTTACACATAATTAAATTTTGCGAACAAATAATAATAAGATTGTTTTGTATTTATCTTCCTGTTATTATGCTTTTTTTCTTTTGCAGATGTCAATACGGCAGTGCCTGATAAAAAATCAATAATGATGTACGTCATGTGTCTTTTTCAATCGTTACCTCACTCTGGTGATGATGTTTCTGCTATTGATATTTCCACCGCTAGTGATACTACAAGTCCTGCTACTACTCCAAGCGCAGAGGTAATTAAAATAGACACTAATTTGTATTTCTTTAAAAATTGTTTTTGCAATTTTTTTATTAAAATTCACTTCAATTAAACTAGAAACTTTTAAATTAATTGCATTAAAATTTAAAAATTAGGAAAGATAAAATAAGAAGAAATTAAGATTAAAAAATTAAACGAAAAAAATAAACAAAACTTTTATTAATTTACATTTACTAATTTGCCTTTTTATCAATTAATTTGAAATGTTTTAATTGTATTGGCTAACAACCGATTATATTAACAATTTGTTTTAGAGTTCATTATCGTTTACGAATTTTGAAGTGCCAACTTCAAGACCTATGAGCCTCGCTACTAATGTTTCGGTTGAATTGGGTGGTTATCAAGTTGCGCTTGAGGAAGTTTTGACTTGGTTATTGGGTGCTGAAGATAAATTAAATCACGCCCCGGAACCTGGCGATACTTTAGAAATCTTGAAAGAACAATTTCACGAGCATGAAACATTTTTAATGGAATTATCTGGACATCGAGATGGAGTCGGCGCTGTTTTAGAGGAAGGCGCACGACTATTGGCAGATGGAGGTTTACAAAAAGATGAGGAGCATGAAGTGCGAATGCAAATGTCCTTACTTAATTCACGTTGGGAAGGACTTCGAATGCGAGCAATGGAGCGACAAACAAAAATTCACGAGGTAGTTTTCTTCAATTTAAATCTATATTAATACTCGTTAATATTAATAATTTCTCGATTTTAAGTTAGTTGTTAATTGTTTTTTTGTTTCCTAACTTTTTAAATAATTTTTCTTATTAAATATTCTGAATTTTAAAATTAATATTGAAATTAAGTGAATTCTTGCAAAGAATTTTGTGAAAATTTTTAAAAATAATTGAATTGTTTTGAAGAATTTTTTTTGAAAATAATAGAGTTTGTTTTAACTCTAATTAAACATTTTGAAAGTAATAGAACTTTATGAAGAATTTAATTTTTTTAATTTATCGTATTTGTCAATAATTGTAATTAAAACATTTGATTATTGAATTTTATTACAATTTTTTAGAAATAATTGAGTTCTTACCAGAATTGTTTATTAAATTTTATTAAAATTATTCATAGAAAATTAAATTCTTTTAAAAACATTCTTCATGTTTTTTTTAAAATAACGTCGTTTTTTTAAACAATTTTAATTGAAACTATTAAAAATACTTGAATTTTACGAAGACTTTTGTTTAAAGTTTTTTTAAATAATCGTGACTTTTAATTATTGTTAATAAAAATTTATTTAATTTTATTATAAAATTTTTTGGAAATAATTAAATTTTTCACAGAACTTTATTATAATTTTTGAAAATAACTGAATTATTTCTAGGAATTTTATAAAAATTGTATTGAAAATAATTGAATTCCTGACAAAAATTGTGTTCATAAAAATAATTGAATTGCTTGGAAGAATTTTATTATTCATTAAGAATTTTATTATTTAATAACAATTCAATAATTTCATAAATAATAAAGCTCTCCGTAGAAATTAAATTATTTTTCAAAATTTTATTAAAATTCTTTTGCTAGAATTCAATTATTTGGATAAATAATAAAGTTCTTCCCAAAAATTCAATTATTTTCATAAATAATCAAATTTGTCCGAGTATTTCAATTATTTTTATAAACAATAAGATTTTTTGAAAATAATTGAATTCTTCACAGAACTTTATTATAATTTTTGAAAATAACTGAATTATTTCTAGGAATTTTATAAAATTTGTATTGAAAATAATTTATTTCCTGAGAAAAATGTTATTGTTTATAAAAATAATTGAATTGCTTGGAAGAATTTTATTATTTAAGAAAATAATTTCTTACGTACGATTTTGAAAAATAATTGAATTTTTGCGAAGAATTGCAGTATTTACGAAAATAATTAAATTTCTGCTAAAAATATTGTTATTTATGAAAATAATTGAAATTTTGCAAAGAATTTTATTAAAATTTTTGAAAATAATAAACAATAATAATCAATAATGTATTTAATAAGTGGATTTTTTAAATGTTGATTTATTCAAAAATAGAAATTGATATTTTAAAATAAAAAAATTTTGTAACTTGCATACGATTAATAAATTGAACGTAGCGTTTCGCATGGTAACGCGCGTAATATTTGCTATTTAATAAATAAAGAGAAAACTTATTTTTAAAGGTAAAAAGAAAACTCATTTTATTTTTAAAGAAAAAGACTAAATATTTTATATTTAAAATAAAAAAATATTTGATATTCTAATAAAGTAACTTTATAAATAGATTTTGATGGGAAAGCAACAAAGTCAATTGGATTCTTTGAGACAATGGTTGACAAAAACAGAAGACAAAATTTCTCACATGGCTGACGTTGAATCGAAACAATTATCTTTAGAGGAGCAAATAAAATTATTGGATGAATTAGAGGAGAATATTCAGGGACAGCAAAATGTTGTAGATGGATTAAAGAATATGATTGTTGTGGTTGATGAGGATAATTCTGAAACTGTATATGCTGAGATGGAGGATCAACTTTCAGCTCTTGGAGAACGTTGGACTCATATTTGTCAATGGAAGCAAAAACGAAGGCACGATTTTGAAATACTCTCTCTATTATGGAAAGATGCAATGGAGGAGTATAAAAAATTGGTAACACGACTTAACGAAACGGAAATTACATTAAAGCAAATGGAAGCAAGTCCCGCTTCAGAATTGGGTGAAATTTTGGAGAGAATAAAGAAAATGCATTTTCTTAAAATTGAAATGGACATTAATCAGAAAAAAATTGTTACACTCCAAAAATCAATTCAAGATTTTGATGGACATGGGTCTTACAAAGAGTGCAGTAATTTGTTGGAAAAAATTGAAAATCTTCAAGATCGATGGGAAGCTATTGGACAAATTATGGAAGTACAGAGTCAAAGGGTATGTACATATTTTTAACTAATTTTTCTTTATTTTAATTTTCATTCTAAAATTTTATATTCTTTGTACTAAAAATAGATTTCAAATTCTGGATTTGAATTTGATTTGACGAGCAACACCCAAGCAAATGTGACAAGCGGAAATGACTGGATGTCAGAAACAGTAACGAGTATTGCTTATAAAGAAGAACTCGCAGAAGGGGTTCGTATTCTTCTGATTTTGGTTTAAAAATAAATACTTATTTAAATGAAAAAAGAAATAAAGTAAATTCTTTTCTATTTCAGATGCACAGTGATTCAAAGAAACGTCGAATTGATAGTGCAACAAAACAGGAATTTGAAACCTTGTTGCAAAATTTATACAAATGGTTAGATTATGTCGATTTGGAAGTTGGACGTTCGGAGGGTGTTTTTGATGAGTTGAGTGTTGAAGAGAAAAAGGCAATTTATGAAGAAAAATTTACAGATTTGCAATCCCATCAGGGTGAATATGATAAAGCGCTTGAAATTGGAAAAAAACTTCTTCAAGAAATCGATCAAATTAATGAGCCAGTTGAAGATGAAGATTTAAAACTCAGAGATCTACAAAATCGTTGGAAAGCTGTCAACGCTAGATTGCAAACAATTAAGGATAAAGTTGATTTATTATTAGAGTTGAAACAATTTCAAACAGATTTAGCCAGTGTACAATTATTGCTCGACGGCTATATGAAATGGTTTGATGCGAATCAGGAGAGCAATCAAATAGAACTTTTCAGAGTAAGTCATTATTTTCCCATTTATTTTGTGGTTACTTACTAATTGTTCTAGATTAAATGATTATATATCAATTAAATGATCATTAATTTCCTTCAGGTAAAAGTAAAATCGATGAAATCTTATGAAGAACGTGTTCAAAAATTAATTGCTAAAGCTAAAAAATTAAGTGCGACGCAATTATCACCTGAAGACAGTGAAAAGTTGCAGATCAGTATTGATAAATTTATTAAAGAATGGGATGAATTATTGAAGAAGTAAGTATAATCTAATTTGATTTGAAAAATTTAATTCGCTTGAATGGAAATTCACTTTAAAAAAAACTAGATTAAATTAAATTCTTTTTTCAATTAAAATATCAAATTGACAAGTGAATTTTTTTATAATTTTCAGATTTTCCAATCGTTTAAATGAGTTAAACGAAGTTGTCGATAAAACGCCACCTAAGAAATATAATGAAACAATTGCCAATTTGCTATCTTTTATAAACAATGTGGAAGGAGTATTATTATCAGAGCACGCTGTAATGTCTGACGATGTAACAATGCAGGATCAAATGAAAAAATTGACGGATCTTCAGGCTTCGTTGAAAACACATCAAATAAACTTCGATTATGTCAATAGCATTGGTCAAGAATTGATTTTAAAACAGGATTCTCAATGCCAAAAAGTAAAAGAAGAATTGCAAGATCTGAACACAAAATGGAGTGACATTCCTATTATTTTAGAAGAGAGACAACAAAAGCTTGCAAAAGGTTTGCTTTTGAATTTATTATTCGTTTCTTTCAATATTTAGATAGACATTATTTCAATACAATAAAAGTTCGTTTTTATCTTTTTATACGTAAATTATTGAATTTATTCAATATTATTATTATTGCAAACTAAATAACTAACTGTTGGGAAATATTTCCAAAAATAAGTTATTTCATTATGAATATTAATTTAATAATTAAATATTTCCGTTCCAGATATTGAAACCGTGAAACTATTCAATGTTGAACTTAAAGATCTCGAAAATTGGTTAAATAGTAAAGCGCGACGTTTGAAAGAAATATGTGAAGACGCATTTGTTAATGATGTTGCGACGACTGAATTGAAATTAAATGAAGGCCGCGCCTTTTCCGAAGAAGTCAATCAAACTAAGCCGAGAATAGAAAATCTTCAAACAACCGCCAATAGACTTCTGGAAAATTCCGAGCCCAATTTCGCAAGTGTGTTAAACAATCAGTTGCAAAATATTTCACATAAATGGAATGCCATTGTGGACGGAGCAAAACATCAGGTTGATAAATATGAAAATGCTTTGAAGAAAAATGATGAGGTAAGAAAAATATTCAAAAATTCCTATTTTTTAACAATAATCACATTAGTTTATTTCAGGTTTGAATTAAATAAATTTATTGGTTTAAAATTGTTTAAATTTAATTAGTTTCAATTTATGTTTAAATTTATTAAATTTCAATTTATGTTTGAATTTATTGTTTAAATTTTTTGCAATCCAGATTATAAATGGAATTGAAGATTTCACAAATTGGCTATCAAGTTTAGAAAAGGAAATACCGAATGAGGGAAAAATAACTTCATCTGTTGAGCTTTTTCAAGCTCGTGGTCGATATCAATTGTTAAAAGATAAAATTGACAGACGAGTGGAAGAGTTTCGAAATCTCAATGAGCTTGGCAATGACAAACTTCTAAGTTCAGAAGGTTCATCTGTTCACGAATTGGGAAGGCGATTCACGTATTTAAATGCAAGATGGACGGACGTTACGGATCGTATTTATGAACGTTATAGACAATTGCAGAATGCTAGTCATGAATACGGAGAGTTTCGTGCATTAGTTGCCCAGGAAAGTGATTGGTTAGATAAACTTGAAAAGAGACTAAAAAAATCAACAAAAAGCGCTGACGCTGAGGAAATATCGGAAGAACTTGATGTGAGTCAATAAACAATTGTTAAATTTCATAACATATTTAAAGAATGTTTTTTAATTATATTTTTTAAAATATATTTTTTAAATATATTTTTTAAATATATTTTTTTAAATATATTTTTTCAAATATATTTTTTAAATATGTTTTTTCAATTATATTTTTTCAATTGTATATTTTATAAATATATTTTTTCAGTTATATTCTTTAAAATATATTCTTTCAAATATTGATTGTATTTTTTCAGGATTTAGAGAATTATATTCGAAATCATCCGGACTCCCGCTTTGATAAATTACAAGAAATTGGAAAACAACTTGTTGACAGCGACATAATGACGCGTACTATTCAAAGTGACGTTGAATCATTAACAAGCCGTTGGGGTAGTTTAAATAAACAGGTATTATTTTTTAACGTTTAATTTCGTTTTATCTTACGATAATTTATTGCTTTTATTTCTATAATTAATATTCTATTGGAAAATAGGCAGGCGAACGCACAAAGCAATTGGAAGGATCAGTGAAGCAAGCACAACAATCAGAAGGGCGTATTCAAGCTCTTCAACACTCCTTAACGCAAGTGGACTCCGTACTTACTGCTCGTCTCGACTGTGATCTGACGGCTGATGATTTACCTCATGACTACCAGGTTTTTAAATTTTTACCCAATTTTTTAACGTCAGTAAAAAGTTCGTTTTTTTAAGAAGATACTTTTTTCTAAAATTTAAGAAATTAAAAAAAAAATTTTAAAGAATTTTCTAAAGAAAAAGGGAAGTTGTATTAAAAACAATTTGATAAATTCTTTCTATTATTTAAGAAACTAATGGACGAAATGGAAAGTCAAGAGTCAACCCTCCAAGAAATGGCCAACCAAATTGAAGCGTACAAAGCAACGGGAAAACAAGAAGCTGCTTCACGACTTCAAGAACAAATGATTTTAATTGGACAGAAATTTTCTGAAGTACAAAGGAAATTCCAACGATTCCGTAGTCCAATTAATTTGGAGCCAAGATTGTCGAGAGCATTGAGAGAACTTCGAGGCATTGAGGAAGCTACTTGTTTATTGGAACTAGCTTCCGAAGATCCCGAAGCTATTGAAGGACAATTGAAACATTGCTTGGTAAGAATATTTATTTAATTTTAAGAAAAAGAAAAGAAAATAATTTCGAAAATATATTTTATATTAAAAATAAAACATTTTTTTTTAGCGTTTCTATCAAACACTAAGTGAAATCAAAAGTGAAATAGAAACAATAATTGTAACCGGCAGAAGATTAGCTGAAGAAAAAACTGTTCCTGATCCAGATGAATTGACAAATCGTATAGACACCCTTAAAGATTTATACAACAAGGTACGATTCAATTTTTTTTAAACTTTAATTCACATCGTAAAAAATATTTACAATTATACATATTAAAACATTTTTTTAAACCTGTTTATAACATTTTTTCAATATTTTAAAAATATTTTTAAAACATTTTTAATTATTTTTAAAGAAAATTTTTAAATTTTAATAATTATTACACCACTTTCTAAATATTGAAATAAAATTTTATGAACTTTTGTTTGTAATCACAGTTGGGACAACATATAACGGAAAGCAAATCTATTTTGGAAACGGCACTAGATTTGTCTCGTGAAATGTTCAAGCACATGTCATACATTAACATGTCAATTGAGAGTATAAATAAGGAGTTGGATAATCAAAAAACTATGCCTGATTTACCTGTAAATGCTATTTACGTAACGGTAAGAAGAAGAAATGCTTTTAAAAAAAAATTTAATCATAATTATTCGCTGTTATGTGATGTTAAACTGCTTTTTTTCTTTCACTAATTTCTTAGGAAACTCTGATGGAAGTAATTCCACGGCTACATGTTGTAAGAGACAAGTTATTTAGATCTCAAGATGAATTTTCAAAACTGTGCGATCCATCGTATATGGAGCAATTTAGAGAAAGATTGACGGAACTCGTCAAACGATTAGCAAGCACTGAAAAAAGATTGCGAACGTGCTGTGGATCAGAGGTACATTAATAATCAATAGCAATATTAACAAAGGAATAATAAATTTTAATTTTAATTTTAATTTAATTTTACTAATTTTTATTTTTATTTATTATTTATGATTTATTATTTATTTTTATTTATTGAAATATTAATTGTGCATTAATATGAAATGGACGATTTTTTCAGGAGCCGAATGTTGACGAAATAAACGCTTGGTTATTCCAAATAGAAGACAAACTGAAGAAACTTGATAATATTCCATTAGAACAATTAAATGAATCTCACTTGGAACAATGCAAGGTAATTCGTCTCGCAAAATATTTCTGAATATATGAATAATTTAGAAACTTGGAAACTTAATTTATGATTCTGTTTTAACATTAAATTATAATTGAACTGTTGTTTTTTCTGAACTTACATTTAATTATTATGTATTTTATTTTCAGTCTTTACAAAATGAAATGGTGGAGACAAAATCGAAAGTCATTCAACTTCAACGTTACTGTTTTTATCCAAAAGTAGCGGCCGTTTGTGAAAAATGGGAAGATATCTCGAGAAGAATTCAAGTAAGTACTCTGAATATTATAATTTTGAATTCTGTTTTATCCAAAGAAAACTGATGTTACGCGTTTACTTTCTTTGCTTATTCCTTTGTGTTTGCTTTTTCATAATATTGGCTTGCTTTTTATAACAATTGGTATGTGAAATATTTGTGCTTTAAATATTATTATTGCACATATCCTTCAAATTAAAACATAATTCGTTTCTTGTATTTAAATACGAAATTATTCGATTCGTTCAAAACCTTTGTTTTTTGATTTTTTAAATTAATTTAATTATTCGTCTGCTTATAAATAATTTCAATTATTTTTATTCTATTTATTTATTTTTATTTTATTTACTTTTATTTTATTTATTTCATTTTTTTCATTTATTTTATTTGCTTTATTTACTTGATCTATTTTTTGATTGAAGGAAAGGAAAAGCAGTTTCGAATAATTTTTTTTAAATGCAAATCTGTTTTTTACTTTAATGCAAAGAATATTTAAACCAATAACAATGTTGTAACCAATCTTTAAATTTTTTTGTTTATTTCATTATAAAAATATGCTTGATTTATGAAAATGTGCTTTAATTATAAAGAAGATTGCTTTTTTGAATTAATTGTCAACTTTGCTTTGGCTTTTTCAAATTACTCTAAACACACTGACAATCATTGAAAAATTACCTCTGTATTTCACAATTACTTAAATAAGTCATTTTGTAAACCAAGTATTTTAAAAATCGTATGTAACGTACATAGGATTTTTAATTTTTATATTTCTTATTATTTTTAAACTTCGCATTGGGAGATAAATAATGTTTCAAGGATTAAATAGCATTACTTTTTGATGCTACGATTCTTTGCAAGTAAGCAACAAACGAGAGAATAAATATATTCGATTTTGTAACTAATGTAAAAAATATAAAATAGTTTTTTTTATAATTACGAAAATTAATATTTAAAGAACAAAAATTTTAAATGCGCATTAAGTATAAGAATTATTAACTAATAATAGTAAATATAAAAACTATTAGTATTATATTTAAATAAAAGTATAAATATAAAGTGAAAATTATTATCCAAGAGGTGTCGTCTGCTTATAATTGAAATTACTTTTATAAACAATTGCACATAATACACCTATATGTAAATATATTGTCAGCACGTGATTGTCGCAAAGTTTGGTGGAATGGACCGAATGAAATATTGATAGCACAACACCAACACAATGTTCAATAATATGTCTCTCCCCTTGAAAAGATTGTACTCCTTAAATGGATGTGTTCCTAAAAAAAACAATGAATTATCCTGACAAATAATAATTGGTTTGAAAAAAACGGATGTTGAGAAAAAAAAAGCAAATTTTTTTGCATTGGTGTCGGATGAAGAACATAAAAATATTTTGTTTCGTTCGCACTGTGAAATGCATAGTTAATTTCTTCTTGGTCTGGTTTTCTTTTTATCACCTCATTAACCCCGCTATTCCATCTAACAGTGCATTTGTGAAATATTTGCCAAAAAAAAGCTTCACATTTTTTTTCTTTTTCATTAAAAAAAAAAAATTGCCGTTATAAATCATAATTTTCTCACAGGAATGGATCATCAAGATCAATGATAATTTATTAATTAAAAAAAATAAGACGATCAATTCTGAGGGGAGAGACATGAGTGGATTGTTTAAAACAAAAGAGGAATTACAATTACAATGTGAGAATGTATTAATTGACGAAAATGAAAAAATGTACGGCATTGGATATCTCAATCCTGTTTTTGATTACAATCAACAGAAACAAATTAAAACACCAGAAAGTTCACCAATTGATATTCCACATCGCAGTAGAAAATCATCGGCTAAATCGGAGAAATATAAGGGAACAGTGATTGATGTTAGTCGAACAGTTAGACGAAGATTAGACATGAGTTCAATTCCCGATGTTGTACAAACATCACAATTACAAGCAAGTCAATCAGATGAATCATCCTCGGAATCATCCGAGTCGGAGGAAAATCTTGTGGATGAAGAATTTTTTCTCACGAAAAATAGTAAACTATTCTCTCAAGTTTCAACGAATACACTGAAGGCAACTGGAGCGAGTGAAATTTCAGTGGAACGAAATATTCAAATAAATTCTTTTCGCGTTGTTGAGATAAAAGAAATGGAAATAGTAAAATCAATTGCTTCTGCCAATGATCGTGTTGTTTTACCATGTGCAAATGTTAGTGTTGAACAAGTACCTCAAGTTGTTGAGAGAGTTGAAATTATTGAGGACACGGAAACTGAGCCTGAATCGGCTGACACTGATGTTGAAGAAAAGGAGATTTTGAAGAAAAATACTTCGAGAGAAATTACGCCAATAATAAAAACAAGTAAGATGATGAAATCAAACTTGGGGAATAATGAGAAATTGGAGACTCTATCGAAACCATCGACATCTTTTGTTAAGAGATTAAAAGAAATTGGTAAAGATAAAAAATCTGTTACTGAATATTTTTTATATGAGGAAAATAAGAGAACGATTTCTTGTAATGGAACGAAAAAGAAAATTGTAATGAAAGAAGTGAAATTTGAAAGAGATAATGACGAAGTAAGTGAGGATTGTGAAAGTTTCTATGGAAGTGATAAAGAAACGGATGATATTTTGATTTTTTCCGATGATACTGAAGTCGATGTTAGGAGTTCCAGTTCGGAGGGAGAAAATACTAATTTAGATGAGCATATTGAACACCTCTTGGATAAGGTAATAGAGAAGGCTTTATTTCTGCTTTTGCGACTAAACATAATAATTGCCAAAATTAACAACAATGTTTCTGTATTAATTTCACACATTGTTTTTTTTAGCCTATAAATTTTAATGACGCTTTTTAGAGAATAATTGTTTTTCATTTATTTGAAAGAATAAAAATTTAATTTTAATAAATAAAAATTTACTTTTCTTTCGCAGACTAATCTCGACAAGCTTCGTGATCCTTTATTAAATAAAGGTGATTCGAGGATTTTTGGAGAAAGAAGACTCCATAGATCGTCCAGCGGTTTGACGAGAGCGAATCTGGAAAGAGATATTCTCGATTTCGAACAACTTGCACAGCAAATGCTGCGAAGAATGGATATTATGTTGATGACGATTTGCGGAGTCAATAACGAAAAGGATCCATCGAAAAGACTTGAGGTATGTATTTTAATTCATATTTTAATAACCTTATTTAATAATATTAAAAAAGGTTTTTATTTTCTTTTCAATATTCAATTTATTCAATGAATTAGACAAAAACATTCTCGAATTTTTTTCGTTTAAAATAGTTTTTAAACGAAATTCGTCAACATACAGTCAAACCTGTCGGAATGCAACTCTTTTTTTGAAAATTTCTTTATATTAAAAAATATCCAGCAAGAATTATATTCACTTAGTTCTAGAATATTGCAAAAATATTACAAAATTAAAATAAAAAACAATTTTTTAAGGATTGTTTACTGTTATAAAATTTAAAAAATCGAATTACATTCCGACAGGTTTCACTGTAAATTTATATGTGTGAACGATTTTAAATGTTTAATTAATTAATTAGTGTATTAAATATTGAATAATTTAATTTTGATTACTTAATTATTAATTTATTAAGAATAATTTAATTTAATTATTTGATTAATTAATTTTTAATTTATTAAGTAGTTTTATTTTTCATAATTTTATTTGCGTGAACGATTTTGATTATTTAATCGAATCCTCAAATTAATTAACTACCTTTAATATATTTAATTTCAATTTTGTTAATTAATTTGAACACATTTTATTAATTATTTACTTTTAATTATTTTTATTAACTCATTGATTAGTTTTATTTTTCATGATTTTATTTGTGTAAACGTTTTTGATCAATTAAGCTAATTATTAAATTATTAATTAATTATTTAAAAATTTAATTTTAATTATATTTAATTATAGATATTAATTTATTAAATATTTAATAATTTAATTTTGATTATTTAATCGAACCATTAAATTAATTAACTACCATTAACCTATTTGATTTTAATTACTCAATAAATGTAATTTAACTAATTATTTAATTTTAATTAGTTTTATTGATCTATTGGTTAGTTTTATTTTTCATAATTAAAATATTTCTTATTTTGTAATTTTTTGTATTAATATTTTTCGTTACACTTTACAAATTTACAAATTTTACAAATTTAAATTCAAATTTTCGCGGTTATTGTTTTAAAATTTATTGTCTTGACTCACTGAGTACTTTTTTGTACTTCCTGTTTCCTCCTGTTCGATGTCAATGTGAAACATCTATCAGTGAGATGCCCTTTTTATTATATTAATTTTGCAAAAAAGTGATTTATTTTCCAACTAGTAATTGATAATCGCAATTGGTACGTATTTTTTTAATAGCAATTGGTAAATTTTGTTACGAAAACCGTAATTTGTTTGTGTAATCATAAATATTGTCAACTCTCATTGTTGACAAGGTTGATTAGTTTACAAGATGTTCATTGTTAGTAAAATTCCTCACTTTACAAGATTTTCATTATTTAACCAAATATTGCAATTCACTATTATAGTTAACGTTCTTTTTTGAGAATATTATTAGTTTTTTCGCCTTTTTTAGTCTGAATTTAAAGAAAAGTTTAATAAAAAATTTGCGCATGCGCGAGGTCAGGTTAGTGTTTTGACTCACTGAGTAGTCCGCCATCTTTGTTGGTGACGTCAGTGTAAAAGTTTCTCCGTATCGTTCGTATCATTGCTTGTTTTATTACACCAATCTTGCATAGAAGAAACTTCATTTCGCTTTGAAATAATGATAATCGTAATCAGTACGTGTATTTTTATTAGTATTTAATAAATTTTGGGGAAAAAATATTTAGTGTTCTTTATAATGATGCAATTTGTTCGAAGCATACATTTTTAGGTTAAGTCAATCAATTTACTAAATTTTCACTATCAATCGAAGTATTTCAATTCATTATTATGTTTAATCCTCTTTTTTAGTAATAATATTGTGTTTTTCCCTTTTTTTGCAAATTTAATTAAATAAAAAGTCGAAATATGTTGTGGGTTAATCCTAAACATCTGGACATGCGCAGAAGCATCATTGCATTCGGAGCATGTAAATATTTTCAATTATTGCGGATTTTATCATATTTATTTTAAAACAGAGGTGTTTTATTTTAATTCGAAAAGTAGATAATCGTAATTAGTTTGTGTTTTTTAAAAAATTATGCGAATATATTTTAGTAAACATCGTAAATGGACTATGAAGTCAAAAAATTTTGGGAAGTTTACTTTTTTAGGTTAGCAAATTTATTAGACTATACATATCGTAAATATTTTTACAGCTAAACAAAAATATCTACTGTATATTTTGTCAAATATAACAAAATTTTTCTATAAAAAATGCATTTTTAAGGTTAGGATTCTAAAACACAATCGCATTATGGTGATGAATAAATTTATTAAAAGCTGATCATTTTAAAATGAAAAAAAAAAAAAATCATTTTTTTTTTTTTTAGTTAGCATTTTTGGAACGATTTGCAAATTTTTTCTTTCTAAAAACAGTATTAAAAAATCAGAGTGGCTACATGTCAGTAAAATTAGGGAAATGTTGGTAAAAAAAATTTTTGTCGATAAAATCAGGGAAATTTATTTATTTTTTAGTATTAAATGTAATTATTTCGATTTTTATAGTGCAAAAAATAACAAATCTTTCAAAAATTATTTTTCAATCATTTTCTATTTAAATTTTCGAAATATACAATTAAAAAGATTTTGAATAATTGAAATTTTGTAAAATTTAATTGAAAATAATTCATTTTTTTCAAGTATTTTGTTAGAATTTTTGATAGAACTTTTGAAGAATTTTAATTGCAAATTTTCAAAATAATTGAATTATCAAGAATTTTAATGAAAAATCTTTAAACGTAAATTTAAAAATGAAAATTAATTAAAATTAGCTTCTAATTTTTTAAAACTTAGTATTTTTAGTACTTTCAATTACATATTTCCAAAAATTCAAATACACACAAAAAATAATAACATTTTAGAATTATTTTTAACATTTTGGAGAAAAAAATAATGTTTAAAATATTTCATTAAAATTCATCAAAAAATTCATTAGTTTTTTTAAATAATACAAAAACTCTTTTAAGAAATTCAATTGTTTTCGAAAAATTACATTAAAATATTTTTAAAAACTACTTAATTCTTAGAACTTTTTTATCATAATTTTTTAAGATTTAATTATCTTCGAATAAAGCAAATTTTGGAGAGATCTTGGTCATATTTATAATTAAAATTCTTCAAAAATTTGATTATATTTATTTTTTGAAAATATTATACCTATAAAATTTAGAAAAAAACATGGGCAGTTTCAATTATTATAAAAAATTAAATTTTCGTATTTAAATAATTAAATTCTCGAAGAACTTTCGGACAATTATTTAAAATATTTGATTTATAGATAAAGTTTAGTTGAAAATTATAGAAAATAATTGAATTCAGAAAGGGTTATAATTGTAATTTTTAGAAATTATTAAATTTCATAAATTTTACTTATTTTCCGCAAAACTTTCATATTTTCCTGTGAAAAGAATTTAGTCTGGGAAAATAATTGTAATGTCCGTAAATTGTCAGGGAAATTGATAAACTGAAACTTGTGACCACCCTGAAAATGAAATAACTTAATTCAAAACAAATTTTTTGTGTGAGCTTTTGTTTAGAAAACTTACAATAATTTAAAAAAAATTTTTAATATTATTTTCAGTTGATCAAGAGTGAACTCAGTTGTCTTGCACCGGATGCAGCAAGTCTTATAAGTCGAGGCGATGGATTGGTAATGACTGTTCATGTTTCTGATCCAGTAAGAGCGGAAAAAATTAAAAATGAACATCAAGATAAGCTACGAAGTAAATGGCATCAAGTTATGGCTGAAACTGAATCAAGAAGAATTCAAGCACAAAAAGCGGAAGAATCGTTACGACTTTATAATAAACTAATTGCCGAATTTGAAGATTGGTTTAGAGATGCTCCACTGAAATTGGAACAAGCCAATAATTATGAAGGACAATTGGAATCTTTTACCGAAGAATTCGACGCCAGACAAGAACAGATTCAAAAATTAAATGATCTTAGCAATGACTTGAAGCGACTAAATGTAGGTCATTCCGAAAATATGCGCTATAGAATTAATAGCAAGTGGCAAGAAATTAGTACTCAATTTAAAAGATTCAGTGGTAGTAAGGATAAAGATAAACATGTCAACGATAAAAAAGTTGAAATGGTAAGTTATCTAATTTTAATTATTGGTAAATTTTCATAATTCATTGAAAATTAGTCATTGTATTGAAAATTTTTTGTCATTTTTCAGGATGTGGGAAGAATTTCTAGTCAAGATTATTTGACAAGATGTAATAAACTCAGAGAAGCGATAGCAACAATATCACGATCATTGAGTGCAATGCCATTAAGTGGAAAAGATTACGAATTGTTCGCCAATCAAGAGGAATGTTTGAAAAAAATTGGAAATGCACTAAATATTCTGAAACCAAGTGTCGAGGAAATGAATTATCTTTACGATAGTATTGAACCACAGGCTAGAAAAGATGAGCAAATTAAACGTTTATCCGACAAATTAAAGAACGAATGGTTAGATGTAAATAGAAATTATATGGAGAGAAATAAACGTTGGATCAAGTGCATTGAAAAATGGAAGGAGTTGCAAAATATTTGCCGTAAATTTGCCGAGTGTCTTGCAAAAACTGAGGAAATGTTGAAAAAATTGAAATCCGAACCATTTTCTGATGGAAGTAAAGTTGTTGCCATGGACCTTGAGAAGGAAGTGATAAAAATGCAAAAAACAATGAATAACATTGCAAGTTCGACGACAGAAATTGTTAGCCGATCAACAGGAGATGATGTCAAAGAACTGGAAAACATGGTTGACGAGTTACAGAATCGATGGCAGAAACTGGTTAATGAATTAAAAAATTATCGAGAAACGTAAGTTCACTTTTTATTATTAATAAAAATTCTTTAATAATCATAAATTTATTATAAGTTTCAATTTATAAACTTTATAAACTTGAGTAGTAAAAAAACAAAAAAATAGAATTTTAACCTGATTTACATGTACTGTAAAAGTACATTTAAGCGTAATATAGAGACAATATTATCAGGAAGCCGGGATTCTCTCCATAGATCTATTTCAGTCGTAGTTTAGCTTTCGTGCTGCGGTGAACGTAATCTGCACAAATTTTAATTAAACAAAATAAAACAAATGTCTAATGAACTTGAATTATAGTGACACTAGGAAAGTACATTCACTTTTAGATATTTTTCAACAGTGATGAAAAAAAATTGTTTATCAATTTTTTTGAGATATATTTTTATCAATATTTATTCATAAAATTAAAATTAAAATAAATGAAACTTAAACTAATAAACAATTTGTCTTGATTGAATTTTTTAATTTATAGGGATTTCACTATGGAAGGGAAAATTAATATTGAAAAGTCCCTTGAAGGAGCGAGAAACATAATCGAACATGTAAATTCCCTACTTGTTTCGACTGCTAATCCGTCAGATGATACATCTTTGTCGATAAGATTGTCAATGATTAAGGTAAGAGATAAACAAACAAACAAATGAAGAATTGTATTCTTTTCTAAATATAACTTTTGAGTTTCCTGACTCTCTGCAATGTGAAATGTGCCAAGACGCAAATAGCTTTGAACTTGTATTTTCGCTTAGTATCAACTTACCATGTCCGCTAACAATGCAGCATATGACATGGAAATCTTTTAAACTTTCATTCCTTTCTCTTAAATATTTTTAATTATTGTACTTTTTTTTTTAAACTTTGCATCAATTTTTTTAGAATAATATAAATAATGCACTAAAAGAAACCTTTTTTGATTCCTGTTATAATTCTGGCAGGAGTTACCATACTGTTATGGTGTTCTAGTCATGGGTATGACAATTACAAGTATAAACATTAGGTTAACATAACTTTTAATTTATTGACAGTTGAAGAGTTTATAACTTATTTTCAAAGAACTTCTTTAAAGTCATTTTTTTTTATTTTGAAAGAAAACATTTTTGTTTAAAAAAATTATATGTTTGCAACTTATATATAATTTTGAATTTGAAATAATTTAATACTGTATAGAGTTGAGGAATGAAAATTACAAAATTATTTATTTAAAAAAAATTATCAATTCATTATCAAATTATTAATGCAAGAATTATCAATTCTTGGATAAAATTTTTTAAAATAATTGAATTATTTCGAAGAATTTTATTAAAATTTTCTTGAAAATAATTGAATGCTTGCTAAAAATTTGATCAACATTTTTAAAAAATTGAATTCTTTCGAGTTATTTTACTATAATTGTATTAAAAATAATTTAATTGTTTCGAAGAATTTTATTAAAATTTTTAAAAATAATTGAATTCTTTGATTATTTAAATTGTACTAGCCAAACTATCCGCGCGCAAGCTCGCAGGAATGTTTTATGGGGCTGCTTATTTTAAACAATTTAAAAAATTTTTTTAAAATAATTATTATAATCTAAATATAATATTATTATTATAATATTATTATAACCTAAACTATGGCTAGAACAATTACAATTAGTATCTGGGTCATCTTTTGCATTGCTTATTTTATAAAGCCATTTTAAATTAAATACTTTTTAAAGAAATAATAATTATTACTCACTAAATTTCTAAATTTTTTTAGTTTTCCATTTTTTCTCTTGAATAAAAATTCAAATAATAATAAAGCTAAATGGCATAAAAGAGAAGAAAAAATGTTGAATTTTAAGAAAATCGGTTTTTTGAATTTTTTCGAATTTTTGATAATTTTAGATTTTTTTACCAAAGAGTTAAGACAATTTAATAAGTAAAGTGTTTTCCAAAAGCACAAAAATAATGAAGCTAAATCCTATAAAAGAGAGGAAAAAATGTTGAATTTTAAGAAATTCGGATTTTTGAATTTTTGATAATTTTCGATCATTTTAAATTTTTTACCCAAGAATCGAGACAATTTAATAAGTAAAGCATTTTCCAAAAGCACAAAAATAATGAAGCTAAAGCCCATAAAAGAGAGGAAAAATGGTGAATTTTAAGAAAATCGGATTTTTGAAATTTTTTAAAGTTTTGATAATTTTAGATTTTTTACCAAAGAGTCGAGACAATTTAATAAGTAAAGTATTTTCCAAAAGCACAAAAATAATGAAGCTAAATTCCATAAAAGAAAGGAAAAAATTTTGAATTTTAAGAAATTCGGATTTTTGAATTTTTGATAATTTTCGATAATTTTAGATTTTTTACCAAAGAGTCGAGACAATTTAATAAGTAAAGCATTTTCCAAAAGCACAAAAATAATGAAGCTAAAGCCCATAAAAAAGAAGAAAAATGTTGAATTTTAAGAAAATCGGTTTTTTGAATTTTTTCGAATTTTTGATAATTTTAGATTTTTTACCAAAGAGTCGAGACTAGTAAATAAGTAAAGTATTTTCCAAAAGCACAAAAATAATAAAGCTAAATTCCATAAAAGAAAGGAAAAAATGTTGAATTTTAAGAAATTCGGTTTTTTGAATTTTTTCGAATTTTTGATAATTTTAGATTTTTTACCAAAGAGTCGAGACTATTAAATAAGTAAAGTATTTTCCAAAAGCACAAAAATAATGAAGCTGAATCACATAAAAGAGAAGAAAAAATGTTGAATTTTAAGAAAATCGGTTTTTTGAATTTTTTCGAATTTTTGATAATTTTAGATTTTTTACCAAAGAGTCGAGACTAGTAAATAAGTAAAGTATTTTCCAAAAGCACAAAAATAATAAAGCTAAATTCCATAAAAGAAAGGAAAAAATGTTGAATTTTAAGAAATTCGGTTTTTTGAATTTTTTCGAATTTTTGATAATTTTAGATTTTTTACCAAAGAGTCGAGACTATTAAATAAGTAAAGTATTTTCCAAAAGCACAAAAATAATGAAGCTAAATTCCATAAAAGAAAGGAAAAAATGTTGAATTTTAAGAAATTCGGATTTTTGAATTTTTGATAATTTTCGATAATTTTAGATTTTTTACCAAAGAGTCGAGACAATTTAATAAGTAAAGTATTTTCCAAAAGCACAAAAATAATGAAGCTAAATGCCATAAAAGAGAAGAAAAAATGTTGAATTTTAAGAAAATCGGATTTTTGAATTTTTTCGAATTTTTGATAATTTTAGATTTTTTACCAAAGAGTCGAGACTATTAAATAAGTAAAGTATTTTCCAAAAGCACAAAAATAATGAAGCTAAATTCCATAAAAGAAAGGAAAAAATGTTGAATTTTAAAAATTCGGATTTTTGAATTTTTTCGAATTTTTGATAAATTTTAGATTTTTTTACCAAAGAGTTAAGACAATTTAATAAGTAAAGTGTTTTCCAAAAGCACAAAAATAATGAAGCTAAATCCTATAAAAGAGAGGAAAAAATGTTGAATTTTAAGAAATTCGGATTTTTGAATTTTTTCGAATTTTTGATAATTTTAGATTTTTTACCAAAGAGTCGAGACTATTAAATAAGTAAAGTATTTTCCAAAAGCACAAAAATAATAAAGCTAAATTCCATAAAAGAAAGGAAAAAATATTGAATTTTAAGAAATTCGAATTTTTGAATTTTTGATAATTTTCGATAATTTTAGATTTTTTACCAAAGCGTCGAGACAATTTAATAAGTAAAGTATTTTCCAAAAGCACAAAAATAATGAAGCTGAATCACATAAAAGAGAAGAAAAAATGTTGAATTTTAAGAAAATCGGTTTTTTGAATTTTTTCGAATTTTTGATAATTTTAGATTTTTTACCAAAGAGTCGAGACTAGTAAATAAGTAAAGTATTTTCCAAAAGCACAAAAATAATAAAGCTAAATTCCATAAAAGAAAGGAAAAAATGTTGAATTTTAAGAAATTCGGTTTTTTGAATTTTTTCGAATTTTTGATAATTTTAGATTTTTTACCAAAGAGTCGAGACTATTAAATAAGTAAAGTATTTTCCAAAAGCACAAAAATAATGAAGCTAAATTCCATAAAAGAAAGGAAAAAATGTTGAATTTTAAGAAATTCGGATTTTTGAATTTTTGATAATTTTCGATAATTTTAGATTTTTTACCAAAGAGTCGAGACAATTTAATAAGTAAAGTATTTTCCAAAAGCACAAAAATAATTAAGCTAAATCCCATAAAAGAGAGGAAAAAATGTTGAATTTTAAGAAATTCGAATTTTTGAATTTTTGATAATTTTCGATAATTTTAGATTTTTTACCAAAGCGTCGAGTCAATTTAATAAGTAAAGTATTTTCCAAAAGCACAAAAATAATGAAGCTGAATCACATAAAAGAGAAGAAAAAATGTTGAATTTTAAGAAATTCGGATTTTTGAATTTTTTCGAATTTTTGATAATTTTAGATTTTTTACCAAAGAGTCGAGACTATTAAATAAGTAAAGTATTTTCCAAAAGCACAAAAATAATGAAGCTAAATTCCATAAAAGAAAGGAAAAAATGTTGAATTTTAAGAAATTCGGATTTTTGAATTTTTGATAATTTTCGATAATTTTAGATTTTTTACCAAAGAGTCGAGACAATTTAATAAGTAAAGCATTTTCCAAAAGCACAAAAATAATGAAGCTAAAGCCCATAAAAAAGAAGAAAAATGTTGAATTTTAAGAAAATCGGATTTTTGAATTTTTGATAATTTTCGATAATTTTAGATTTTTTACCAAAGCGTCGAGACAATTTAATAAGTAAAGTATTTTCCAAAAGCACAAAAATAATGAAGCTGAATCACATAAAAGAGAAGAAAAAATGTTGAATTTTAAGAAAATCGGATTTTTGAATTTTTTCGAATTTTTGATAATTTTAGTTTTTTTACCAAAGAGTCGAGACAATTTAATAAGTAAAGTATTTTCTACATGAAAAAGTTTGACATTAAAAAATATATAAAAAATGCCCCCACAAAATTTAATTTTCAAAACAAACAAATGAATGCAGATTATTTGCTAACGGAAAGGAAACTTACGATTATTATAATGTATTAAAAGTACAGTGAGTTCTCGCGAGTCGTTCAACTCACGAGTCGTTCAAACTCGCCAGTCGTTCAACAGCTGATCAGTGTCTGATTCACAAGTCGTTCAATTTCTAGCATGCGCGCGCCGGTGCTCAGTGCTGTGTAATTTAAACGGACCAAAGCCTTTGAATATTGTGTCTTTCGGGGCGATAAATATGTTTCACACATCCCTGAAATCGCCTTGGAGGCGTGGCTTATGCGTTGAACGACTCGTGAGTTTTATGATCTTGAAAATTTTCGAGAATTGAACGACTCGCGAGAACTCACTGTAATTGAATTCCTTCCAGGAATTCAATTAAATTGGATTGCAAATAATAAATGTCTTATAAAAAATTGTTTCAAAAGTTTTAAAAGTATTTGAAATTTTTCGAGAAATACAATTAAAATTAGATTGAAAATAACTGTACTTTTATAAAGAATTTAATCAAAATATTTGAAAATAATTGATACCTGTCCAGGAATTTAATTAATATTAGATAGAAAATAACCGTTGGCTTATAAAGAATTTTTTCATAATCTTTGAAAATAATTGAATTGTTCAAAAGAATTTTATTGTTTATGAAATTAATTGCATTCTCAGCAAAAATTTTATTAAAATTTTTGAAAACAGTGAAGAACAATAAGTAATGAGTTAATTTGTTAATAGGCGACTTTTAAAAATTTTGAACCGTTTCTAGTCTAGGATAAAATTACAGTTGTATTTTTATTCTATTTACTATCCTGTTATGTAAAAAATTAATTTAGTAATAAATATTTCCAAATAAAAATAACGATTTCTTTTTATCAATTAGGCACGAGAAGAGGAAATAATCAGTCGCAGGAAAGAATTGCATGCCATCAAAAGCCAACGGAATGTTACCAAACAGGAGGAAGAATGTAACAAATTGATTGCCGATATTGAAAAGGTTCGTTTATTTTGAAATTGTTTGACATGTGAAGCGTTTGAAATTGAATTTGCTATTGAAATATGACTGCAATTTTTTTTTTTTTTGCTTTTCTTTTTTTTTTGAAAATGATACGTTTCACTAATACGTTCTTAATTATTCCCAGGTTCAATCAAGTTTGGCAACACATCGCGAATACGTGGAAAATAAATTGACCTCACTGAAAAAATATCTTTTAACTTTGGACACTGTTATGACGTGGGTCATGGAAACAAGAACGAGACTCAATATTTCCCATGAATTACCACAACAAGAGCGATTAAAAGTTATTGACAATATAAAGGTAATTTACACTTTATTTGAAAAGTCGTAATAATTTAACAAAAATTTTAAACACATTTTGAAATGTTTGCAATTTTCGCTTATTTAATTTAAATTTACTATTTATTTTGAAATGTAATCAGGGTAGTGAACTTTTGATGGAGTGTAAAGTTATATTATTATTTGATTTCAATGTTTATTTAATAAATTGAAATTATAAGCGGGTAAAAGCAAAGAGTAATGAGCAGAAATATATTTATATAATGTAAATAATATATATGTTTCAGGCAAATGTCGAGGATCGTGAAATGGAAGTGAAAGATGTTTTAGAAAATTATACAAATTTGGAAAAAGAGTGTGAATCTGCAAAGCAATCTGTATCTGTCGAATTGCAGGTTAGTAGATGAGAATTTATTCAACTAAAGAGTTTTATATTTTTGAAATTTTTTTGAAAATTTAATATTAAAGTTTAAATTAAATTTAAGTATCAAAAATATTTAGTTTGCTGTATTTTTGCACTTTTTAATGAGTTTTGATTGTAAAATTTTTTAGGAGAAATTGAAGAAGTTACGAGCCGACTGGCAATTTGTTAAAAATCGTGGTGAAGTGACAGACATTGATGCGATTGCAGTTTCTCCACCTGTTGAGGCCGCTCGTCCAAAAGGTAGGATTCTTGAGTCAATATTCATTTCATTTAATTAACTTCTTTCAAGTTGATTATTTTATTTCGAAAGCAAAATAGATAATCAATATTATCCTGAATTATGGGATAAATTTTGAGTTTCTCTCTTTTATTTCTATATACAAATCTATCTGATATATCGAATGCATTCACAAAAGCAAACATGCAAAACAGATACGTGATACGCAATCTGTATCATACAATATTATAAACGCGATATTTGGCTCATCAAATTGGATTAGTTTATTGAGAGAGAGAGATAGAGACGAATAATCGAATTTCAAATCTTCCGGAGATTTATATAAATGCCCTTCCATTGATTATAGTGCTGAATTATATAAAAGATTATATATTTTTATATTTTGTTTTATAAACTAATTTTTATTTCTATTAAAAAATTGTTTGGATAAATTGGTCGTTGGACTTGTACAGCAGGTACTGAGTTAGGTGCAAAATCATGTTTACGATTTCTAGTTGCTGAAATATAGAGTATTCCATTCCCGAAATTCAATCTGTTTGGCTATTTTTCTCTCGACTCGAATTTTAGTGGAATTCACTAGGTTTCAGTTCGGTCGTAAATACATTGTTTCCATTCATCTCGGGACATCTAACAGTTCTGCAATATCGAACCTGATAGTTAAAGAGACAGTGTGTGCCATTGTTTCTATTCAGTTAATTTTGTTTCTCTCTCTCTTTGTCTTTTTCCATTTCAACTTTTTCACATTTTTACACACTGAAATATAATATAAATCTCTTTCTTTCTCTCTCTCTTTTTTTCCATTCACTGCGATACTGAAAGTTCGCTGAAAGAAATGCCTTTCAAATAAAACCTATAAACTTCTTGTTGAGAATTCTGTTTGAACTGTCAAAAAAATATAGGTCACGTTAGATATCTGTCATAAGCATGACAGTGTTTCTTCAATACTTTCTTTTTCTATAAAATTTTTTTTGATTTACTACATTTTTACTATAAAGATAATTACAGTGTTGCCACGCAATCTGGAAACCTGGAAATGTCAGGGAATTTTGATCGGAATCCTGGAACATTATTGTTTTCTAAAGTTATTGTGCTTATTCTTGAAATCTAATTTTACCTAAATATTTCAAAATTAATTCAATTTTAAAAGAGTTGCGTTTACAATTTTTTAAAATAAGTGAACTTCAAAAGGTTTTAATTTGAAATTTGGTAAAATTTCAATTTTGAATGAATTAATTAGTAAACTTTTCACACGAATTCTAATATTTAAAAATTCTTTATAAATTTCTTCGCAATAATTCAATTATTTTCATAAATAATCAAATTTTCTACAGAGATTCAATTATTTTCATAAATAATAAAACTCATCACAGAATTTCAATTATTTTTAATACAATTTTAATCAAATCTCTCGAAAAATGTACTAATTATTCTTAAAAATGTTATTAAAATTCATCAAAGAAATTCAATTATTTTAAAAAGCATTCCTATAATTTATTTATTGGAATTTAACTATTATTGTCAATACATTTTTAATTAAATTTCTTGAAAGAATTCAATTATTTTCAAAAATTTTAATGAAATTCTTTTTAACAATTCTATATTATTTTTTCAAAATAATTTTAATAAAATTCTTCGTAGAAATTTAATTAATTTCAATAATTTATCAAAATTCAATTATTTTTAATAAAATTTCACAAAAGAATTCAATTATTTAAAAAGAAATATTATTAAAATTCTCCTCAAGAATTATGGTCGGAAGTTTAAAAAAAATTCTCCTCAAAATTTCAATTATCTTTATAAATAATAAAATTTTTCTCCAAAATTGAATTATTTTCAAAAAATTTAATAAAATTCTTGGCAAAATTTCAATTATTTTCAAAAACCTTTCTCAATTCAATGAAATTTTTTTACAGAGTTTCAATTATTTTTAATACAATTTTAATCCAATTTCTCGAAAAATAATATTATTCTTAAAAATTGTATTAAAACACATATAAATAAATAAATAAAAAGAATTTTAATTACCTATTTAAAAATTTGTTGATAAAATTCTTTAAAATGAGAGTTCAATTTTAAAAAACATTCAATTCTTTAATAAATTATTTATTTTTGTATTTAAATAATTGAATTCTCGTAGAATTTTCTAGTAAAAATTGATTTAAATATGAATTTTAGTTAAAATTTTATATAATAATTGCGAATGTTAAACTTTCTAAATTTGAATTAGTAAAAATGTTGGCTAATTTAAATTATTGACTGACTTTTTGGTTTTGAATTAGCAGATTTTACTAATAAATGTTAGTTTCTACTAATTTAATAGTAAAATTTACTAATTCAAAAGCAAAAAGTTAATATCTAATTCCAATTAGTAAATATTTTTACTAATTCAAAATTAGAGAGAAAGTATTATAGCGTGAATTTTTTAAATTGATTTTTGAAACGGTTTCAAATTATAATCTTTCAAAGTTTAAATTTTTCATACTTTTAACTGAAAATTGTGTAGATTTAATTTTTTTGAAATGTTTAATGGAACTTTTTTTAAATTATTTGATGTTTTTATTTTCTATTATATATTTGATTGAGGAATTTCCGAATAATCGATAAAATTTCGTAAAATTGAATTGTAAACAAAAAGATTTGAAAATTTTCAAAGAAATTTTTCAAAAATTATTAACAATAATTAATTTAAATAATTAATTTTTCTGAGTTAATAATTTTTGAACTGAATCAGAATATTCTTTAGAGTCAATAAAATGTGAGAATTTTGTCTGGAAATCAAGGGAAAGTCAGGGAAAAACAAAATTTAATTTTTGTGGCAACCCTGTAATTTGAAATTTGGGAAACTTTTTGCTTCTTAAATACTTTTTTCATAGTGCGTTATATTTAAAATTTTCTCTTTATTTAAAATTTAAATTAAATTGTCAATTCTTTGAAAAAGAATTCTTAATTTAATTAAACGAAAGAGGAAGGCTAGGAATTTTAATATAGTTTATTGATCAGCATTTCATTTGATGTTGACCTTTTGTTGTCGTTTCTTTGAAACAGTTTTAAATAGTTGATCGATTTTCAGTTATTTACGGATAACTGTCGATTGCGTTTCGTCTTTTAATTATCGATTGCATGCCGCATAGCTTCTTCTTTGAGTTGTAAATTATAACAAGTACAAAGGTTGCATGAACTGTCGAACAAGCTAATGCGACTGATTCAAGGAACTTTGTACTTTGAAAGGGTTGAATAAGATTCCTAGGGGAGGTAAAGGAGTTCATTAATTATTTAAGTATAACAGGTAGAGATTTAAAATGTTTAATTCTATCAATATTCATTTTTAAGTCTTGAGTTGAGAAGCCCCAGCTACTTTATGGACCGTTTATTTATTAATGTATAGGAGAATGACACACAGACTTTAACAGAGAGTAGAAAAGGAGTAAAAAAAAAAGAAAAAAAGAAATTATTAGAGACGTAAAAATTCAGAGATCAAAGATAAATAATTCCACAAGATCAAAGTTACCGTATTTTAAAAAGGTCAAAAGTATAAAAAGAAATTGAAAGCTAATGGATTTAGGAATTAAGGGAAAATGGAATATTTTTTTTTTAAAAAGAAATCTTTATTTTACTGAAAATGGAAATTTATTTCGTTTCATTTTATTTTCGAGTATTTTATAGACAGTTTGTATTATAGAAAATTAATGTACAATTTGTATTAAATAAAATTTATATACAATTTGTATTAAATAAAATTTATATACAATTGGTATTAAATAAAATTTATGTAGAGTTTTTGAATAAAATGAAATATCGGGATAATTATAGTTCTCAATTTAGACAGCGGAGGTAACCAATTTATGACTTTAATTAACGTAAAAGTACCTAAAATAATGAACAGTGAAACATAAATACGTAATAAATTATAAGCTATCTAGTTGAAGGTATAGAAACGTTATAACGCGAGTGCGTTTCGCCTAGAGGGATTTCAGATCTGCAATTCGCGTCCCTTTGTGGTTACTGAGCATTCTAAACTTTCACCCCTTGTCCTGTTTCAGCCTTTAGTAAAGTTTGATTCTCCTAGAATGTTGAGGATGTTGAGGATGTAATATTACGAGAACAGACGGAGATGAGAAAGCATAAGGTACAAACTTAAACCACTTTCTGCTTGATCATCTCAAGACTATATTATAGAGAACAGCTTTTATATATACATATATATTTCTGTTCATTAAGTTCGTTATATTGAATAATTTTACACTTTCTTGTATTGAATATATTTTTTCAATCTTTTTACGCACACAACTTATTTTGACAATAAGAATTATTTTGAATTTTCCCAGAATTTTTCACGAATGAATAATTTTATTATTTAACTATCTGTCATACTCTTCATTGAGATTTTAAATATTTTTAAATACCAAACAATACACTAACAATAACAATTTACAATAACATATTATTATTTATTATTATATTTATTATTATATATATATATATTTATATATTTATATATATATTATATTATATTATATAATTATTATTATTATTATTATTATATTATATTTATATATATTTATATATTTATTATTATATTTATTATTATTTACAATAACATTTTTTTGTAAAAATTCCCCAAAATTCTGTTGACGCAACCTACAAAGTCATTTTGTGGATATTCGCTCTTTTTTTCGAATTAGTATTTAGCCAGTTTCAATTGAACTTACACTAGTTGCAAAAAAATTCTGTAAATATTTTTTAATGTTATGAAGAACTTTCTATTTTCCAAAATGTATTAATTAACATTTTCTCTATATAAACTAGTAGAATATATTAGAATTTTTTAAAAATTAAATCTCGAACAAAAAATGTCGTTAATTTTCTAGAAACATCAAAAAAATTCTTGAGTTTGATTTGTTTTATTAAAATTAATATAATTTATGAAATAGTTTACACATTTTATGGTTCTTTGAATGAAGCTGAAATTGGCATCCAATTAATTTTTCAAAATTTTATGTTG